CAAGTAATATAAAACAGGATATAATTATGGATTCAAATTTATAAGTAATTTTTTTTCATTTTTTTAACAATTTATATACTTACTGCCTTAAATTTCATATCAATACAACTATTATTAGAAATTTTTGGTTCAGTTTAGTTTCATACTACAAATGGCCAGAAGATGATAGTTTGCCTCTACAATTACCTAGTCCAGGAAAAAACATCTCGCCATAAAAGCATCCAAAGTTAGCTCACAAGATATAATGTTATTTCCCTTGAGATATACTGGTTAATGAAGTCAGACAGTATTGCATGCGACTCATTAACACATAAAGAGTGATAGTATGATTTTAAACTACTTTGATATCATATGAACTTTTTATTTCAAGTTGACAAATGATGGTACACATACGACAACTGCTTTTCGCACTCTGGCTTCCAAGTATTAAAGTTACATTGATATTACATGCATGCTTGACAAATAAATGCATTTGTACTTTTTTTACTCCTCTTTTCGTTACTCCTCGGGAAAAAATAAACATAAACTCCAATACCATCCCACCCCTCCCTCGCCCCTCAAATCACGTCTTAGGGCGATAAATAAAAAGTTCATATGATAAAATTGATATACCATACTCGACCACGTTAGCGCCCATGCATCCCCCACTTTTGGGGCATTTCTATTTTCTGGCTCACGTTCGGCTAAGCGTCTATTCTCTTCAAAATCACCCTAATTTGTCTGTATAATCAATCATAAACTTTAACTTTTCCAAAAACCGTAATCGTTTTCACATGATACAGCGTTGATACTGACTGTCGTGAATATGTTGTGAATGCGTGGATCACGGTAATAGTGTGTAAACTACGCTTCGACAATGACCTGTTAATGAAAGTGAAATGTGGTAAATACTTCATACCATATTCAGTTTACTTATCAAAAATTTCTGTTTCTTCGTTGTAAAAGTCAATGACGCAACTAAATTCAGAATTTTATTTTCCCCCAAAGTTGCAATATCACCTCAATCTGTCACATGATGAACTAAAACTGTCATTTGCTCCCTTTTCGCTTGGGTAAGTGCCCATCCCTAAAAAAATCATGATTTTCTGAGTTGAGAACACTGGGCACTAATGCGGTCAAGTACGGTAGTGTTTGGTAACATAAACAAAGTTTAAATACATTCATTGGTACACAATATTAATCCCATTTGTACCACTCGCATTGTTTTACCAGTTTTTTAAAGATTTGCACTTAAAAAAAAACATACTGGGATCTCTTACATCAAGATGCTGCTAATTAATAAGACAGTACAGTTTCAGATACTGAAAAGTCTATTCCAAATAATTAATTTCAACTTCACCATATAATAATTAACTGGTGTATCTGGTCCAGTGTATCTAGTCTGGTCTGGTCTGGTCTGAGCAGTGACACCATTGAATAAACATTTAAAAATCACTGTGGATATCAAACTAAGTTAGATTGTTGTTACATAAAGCTCAGTAAGAAACAACTGAAATAGACTAGGCATAGGAAAGTGGTAGTGGTGAATTGGGCAGTGCAGCAATGCCTACCTATAGCCGTCAACTGTGCACAAACAATGTTGATTGCAGTAGAAAGTGCAAAAGAAGATGATAGTAATTTTGTTTTTCTGGTCAGAGGCATATCTAACCTGCATATGTTCTGTACATGCTCCCATGTCTTCGCATAATACCAGGAAAAAGACAACTATCAGATGTCCATTTCTTTTTCCCGCACAGAAAGTAGATTGTGCAATCTAAAAATAATTATTCACGTTTGTACAATTCTCAGATGATTAAAATAATAACTAATGAGACTGAAGCCAACGATAAATAACACTGCAACATTGTTCAAACACAGACAGGATTGGTTGGCTTTCGAAAAGACCAATATCACCACCACCACCTACCAATAATGATACTGTATTGTCTTTGAAAAATCACACATTTTAAAGCAACAAACATTTTTAGGGGCGTGGCATCACTGTACATACATCTCAATTATTTGATCCACTGATAGGCATGAATATTGTCCTGAA